GGTTAGTAAATCTTCCCAGCTGAACCTCTCAGTCTACCATCTTCCTCCCATCTCCGTGCTTCCGTGCTGATCAATAGCAGCCACCTCTGAAATGGCCTCCCTCCTCCCATCTTGGCCACACAGATCATTTAGAAGAAGCCAGGTGATGTCACTGTTTGGATCAAATCTTTTCTAAGGTTTCTCAGAGCGCGCGCGCGCACACACACACACACACACACACACACACACACACACACGAAAACTCCGAGTGCTTAGGATCACCTGCCAGAGCAAATTTAAGCTTGCTTCATTTCCATTACCTCTAAGAGCTCATGTGGGCTGCCCTGCTGTAGCCACTGGAAGCACATTCATGCCTCGGGGGCTTTGCACAGGCTGCTCCAGATAACGCAGCCCCTCGATGCCCAGTGAAGGCTACCCCAACCATCCCAAGCTCCTGCTCATCTTCCTCTTCCCTCTGGCACTCTCTGCTTTCTCTCTAAGGCATTTAGCCTTCCACTTAGAATGTTATAAGACTTTAGTGGCCCACTCTGCCATGAGGGTAAAGGCTTTATTTCTGGTTTATATTTTCCAAGATCCTAGACTACCAATCAGCTCAGATTAAAGCTCTCGTTGAAAGATGAACTGTGTGGGCCTTGATCGATCTCAGCCTTGAATGCAGAATGAACTGTAAAAGCTGTTTCTCAACTCAAGCCCTAATGCTCGATGCCAGGTTTCCATCCCATTTTTCTCCACCCTCCTTGGTTTTGTGAAGAAGTATCCAGACTTTTAGATGAGCCTCAATGCTCACTGGGCTCCCAGGCCCCTCTTCTGCGCAACATTCTCTCTCTCTTATCTCTTCCCTTGCCTACGTCCACCTTCAGCCCCTCCCCCATCTCTACCTAAAAGCATTCTCATGACACCGACCATTACAGGCAGCTTCCGATGCCTTGCTCCACACCTCAGCAACCACCCCCGCCCCATCCCCCTTTATCATAAAGCCACTCCAGAGAGTAGCTGCCAAGCTGTCTTCACTTCTCTTCCACCCCCTCCTGATCGTTCATGGCCTGGCTTCTGTCACCAGCACTCAACTGAAAATATGCCTTTGAAAATCCCCAGTCTACCTAATTGGCCAGCCTGGATGGGTTTCTCTCCCCACACCCCACCCCATGATCTCACCCTCACCCTCTCTCCTTTCCCATCTTGACTTTGAAAGACACACTGCACCAGGCTCCTGTCACCATCCTGAGCAGTCATACTTAGGTCCTGCTACACCTTTGCTTCCCTTGTGGGCCCTTTCCTGAGTCCTCTCTCTCTCCATTCCCCTCACACAGACCTTCTCCAAGTTCATAGCATTAACCTCCACCCTTGGGAGATGACTCTGGAATCTACAGCTTTTCAAATCATGCAGCTCTACCTGGAAAGCCTCCCTCATCTCAAACTGAATCCTGCAGTTACTTCCTGTCACATCAGCCTCTTCTATCTCACCCTGCGTTAAGGGTCTGAACTCTTCTGTTCACAAAGCCGTAGACCAGTTGTTCTCAACCTTTCTAATACTACAATTCTTTAATACAGTTCTTCATGTTGTGGCAATCCCTCAACCATAAGATTATTTTCATTGCTACTTCCTATCATTCTGCTACTGTTAGAAATTGTAATGTAAATATCTTCTGATACGTGGGATATCTGATAATACAACCATGTTAAAGGGTCATTCAATCTCCCAAAGGGGTCACAACCAACAGGTTGAGAACTACTGCCTGAATATACATCCTGAATATACCTCTCCACATTGGTCTATCTGTAAGCCATTGGCTGTGCATCATCTAGTCTCAATCATGCCTGAAGTTGGTACTCTAATCCAAGACTCCACCACCAGGGCCATCTGATAAGCACCTAGCATCTTCCAGATCAAAGTCGTCCTGCTTTGCTGCCTTCCTGCTAGGGCTCGCCAGACACATCTCCAGAACTACCATTCTGATCACGGATCATTCTCCAGACTAAACTACCTCATGATTTCTTATGTCGTGCTCAACACATCCAAGTACCTCTGTCTGAAATTTAAGAGCATCCTAAGGCAGGATGACAGCTGCCCTTCCTGTTCTGTAACCACTCACCATTCTGCAAACATGCCTTCTGCCGACGGTGAAGCCACTCCATCCAGAAAACTCACTTTCAAGACTATAACTCATCATGACTGAACTGTATGCCATACTCCACTCCACTAACATCTCTAGACAGTAATCATCTCTCCATTTCTCTCTCATGGACTTGTTTCCATAATTCTTTTATTCCCCACCCCCACCCCAAGAGCTGAAGACCAAACCCAGAGCCTTGTGCTTGCTAGGCAAGCATTCACCACTGAGTTCTTATTACAGATAACTTCATCCTAAAATTCTAGCTCTCGCCTCTCTCCTAAACCTGACTCCTTAAGGATAAGAAATGCATCTGTCTTCTAATATGTGCTGAAATCTCCACCTCTAGAGGCACTAGATATAGATCCAACCAATCACAGAGTCAGTAGCATGAGATACCTCACTTGGACAAGCCCCCACCACCACCTCAGATCCTTAATTCCTTCTTTTCCTCTTACTGCCCCGGCAGGGCGATCCAATCCAATGTCAGATGACAGTGGTGACAGCGGATGACTGTCTTTATTTTGTTTGCACTACAGGTTTCTAGTTAAAGAAACTGCTACTGCATTCTCAGAGCTTCACATGGAAAGACAGGAGGGGTGGCTGGGCCCACATGCAACGAATCAGGACACAGTACTGGGGCATGGAGACCAGCCAAGGAGCAGAATGAAGATGGGAAGAGTAAACCACAGGAGAAACCAGGTCAAGGTCATGGCCTTAGGGAGGCTCTCCCGATCTGAGCTTCCCAGGTAACTCAATGGATTCTCACGCTTCAGCTCCTGGCAGCAGAATGTAAAAGAAGCCAAGAGATCCAGTGTGCTGGATGTCTATTCACCCTGGCTCCCAGACTGTTCTACACATTGGTTCTTCCTGGGCCTTTACTTACATAAGCAAATGAAGAGTCACTAAAAGAATGATCAGGATACTGTGAAAGCAGACCCTTCCAGCACAAGAAACCTGTTCCTACAGTGCATGGACCAAAAGAGGAATTGTATAGCCTCGGTGACCAGATAAACTGCCCCCTTTGTGCAGCCCAGCTTATTTCCTGGCCGAGTCACTCATAGTTGATGGAGATTGGTAACAAGGTAAGGGAACAGAGACAAGGTGCCAACAATATTCTTCTTCCTCACGGTGACTTCAAGGCAACCAACACCTGAGTGGCTACAAAATACAGAAGTGGGCAGTGAAGCTTTCAGAAGCTGGGAGGAGAGAGAGCCAGAACAGAGACCCACTCCAAGATGGCCCTCCTCCAAGGCTATTAGCAAGATATGGGGCAGGGTTCCAGAAGGGGTAGCAAATCCATCCTGCCCCTTCTGTCCAGAAGTCTCCTGGATCTGCTCATCATTACACTGGGGTGTCACTGTCCCAGACAATGTCAGAGTCTGCCATTGCTGTATAAACACTGGGAGAATGACACATTGAGGAGCTTGGGTGGCCTTTCTCTCTCCGAAGTAAAGCTGGTAGGAGACAATTGCTGCTGACAGAGTGAGCAAGAGGGTAGCCTAAGTCAGATACCCCATCTGGACCACCACACTGAGTACTCTGCCCCAGAGACACAGAGATACAGGCCTCAGACTTTGAGGCTCTAGTAAAGCAAAGCTATCAGCCTGAAAAAAACAGCTCTCCATGGAGGCAAGGCCCCAACGGCCACTTTTTATGGTATAAATACTTCCACTATGTCCCACTAAAAGCTGTCACAGAGTGCAACCAGGGAGGTGTCGGGGAACGGGTTCCTCATGCTGAAGTTCAGGAGGAGGGTGTTCCCACCCCCATACCCAGCCTTGGGCCCAACCCAAGAGCAACTGGTTTGCTGAACTGCATCCTCAAACCAACATCTATCCTTTCCAGGGAGGGCGTCACCTCCTGCCTTGCAGCTGGCATGGTGACTCAGCTGCCCCTAAATTTAGGAAAAGTTGCTGAGGACAGAGGCAGATGGCTGGCTTCCTCTTCTTCCTCAAGATACCCCACCCTGTCAGCAGCCAGGCTGAGCTCAAGACTCACCTTACTAACACAGTCTCTAGGCCATCCTTGTCTGGGTTTCCCTTCACAACCAAGGCAACCATTTTATTATATTTTTTTAAATTTCCTACACACTCTGGCTGTGAGCAGAAGTGAGACCTCTATTGGGTTTTGTACAGTTGTCCCTCACGACCTGGCTCCTCACCACTGGCTCTTCCCTGGCCTTTCCCCCAGCAGCTTCCTCTGCAGATCGCTCTCTGGCATCGCCCATAGAGAGTAGGACTTAACAAGAACTTACAGAACAGCTGAGCAAGGAAGATCTTAGGCTTACCAAGGACAAGACTCCTGATGTACCCATCATGGTGAACATCAGACAGAGCCCCACTGTTTCAAGGCATTCTCACAGGACTCTTGAGATGAGCTTAGACCTAAAATCCTTTCCCCTCCCCCACTTCTCAACAACTGTCCCAAGGCCCTGAACTTTGGGGACAGTGAACATTTTAACAGTGGCAGAGTCTCCTTTCTGCTTAAAACGTCGATCCCTCAAGTCACTGCCTCCAGAAAGCCTCCCATGATTGACGTAGGTAGTAAGTTTTATACTGAGACCTTGGCTCTGCTGTTACTGCATAATTTGCCCTCTGTTAAAACCATCTGGTTTCCTATTACGTGACCAAACTGCAAAGTCCCCTAGTCATGGAGAGACACTATTCTTTGAGTCCCAATGCCTAGCTTGGTGCCTAATAAATGATCTTTACAGGAGGGATGGCTGGGTGCACACTCCCAAAGACCTCTCCAGGGTGAAACAGTATTGTCAAAAACCCCTAGCCTCTGCTGTGCTTGTCTTTCCCTCTCCCCCAGTAGACAACAGAGACCAAACAGGGGAGGGGATAGGGAATAGGGAGAGGTTTCCCAGGCCTCCAAAGCTGTTACCTGCTACCCGATGGGCTACCAGCCCTTCCAGGTTCAGCGGCTCTTCCTCTGGAGTTCGGGAGGGATCTGAAGTAGTTTCCTTTGGTGGGAGCTGGGGCTGAGTGATGAGACCAGGGAGGGAGGCTGGGGGCTCCTGATGCCCCGCAGAGCTATGAGGGCTTGGAAGGAAGGTGGAAGAGGCTGGACTTTTTGGACGGAAACTCTGGTTGGATCCAGCTGGATGCAGCTGATAATCATAAGGTGAATAAGACCTGCCAGAAGAGACCAGCTCCGGGGTTCCCAGGGAATGTCCACTGGGGATATAGCCAGATCGGGACTGGGTCAGTGGGTGGGACTGGCGGGAAGACCCCAAGAGGGGCTGGGAAGAGAGTGGGGAAGCCCCTGGCCAGGCCCCAGGAACACTCTGGGACTTATGAAGAGGGACAGCAGCGGAGGCTGGTTCCAGGTCCAGCATCAACATATTGAGTGCCTCGATGGACTGCTCGATCTCCTGCTGGGATGCTGCCCTTGGGAACTCTGGGAGAGCGGGTATGGGGGTCTCTGCTGACAGCTGGGGGCTAGGCTTGCTGCGGGCAAGACTCTGCAGTGGGGATCTCTCCTGCTGGTGGGGAGGTGGGTGGGGCTGCTGCTGCTGCCATGAATTCAGACCCCTCTGGACAGCCTCTCGGCTACTGCCCCCACGGGCTGGAGCTTGGGGCAGCTGGGGCTCCACATCTGGAAAAGACTGGGATCGGAATAGACCACTGGGGTCACAGCCACAGTGGGTGCTGGTCACTTGTTGTGACCAGGCTGGGTAGGGTCCCTCACGCTGGTAGCCAGCTAAACCCTCCTGAGCAGAGTAGGAGGGTCGAATGGGGGCCGAGTGACTGCTGTGAACAGGTACCACCCGGTTGGCAGCCTCATAGGGGTAGCCTCCACCATTGAGCATAGGTTCTGTGGAATAGGGTTTGTCCAGACCATTAGTCAGTGGGGACAGGGTCTCTGGGTAGCCACCTTCGCTGGTGTTGGTGACCCCATCCAGGGAGGACAGCGTGCCCATGCTGCCTCCACTCTGCCCGTCCTGGATGGGCAGCTCATCATCCAGAATGTCCGTCTCCCGCTCAGACGCCAGGGCCCCACCGTTGACATGAACCTGGGCTGGGACAATGTGGCGGCCAGGGGAAGACACAGTCGGGCCCCCACCTGGGTGGGATCTGAGTTGCTGAGCCCGGTACATGGCGCCTTGCTTCTCTCGTTCTACACCAAAGCCACTTAGTAGGCGATCCAGCTCTTTCTTCTCCTGAGGACTTAGGGCAGCAGGGGCAGTGGTAGCCCCAGAGACTGGCTCATCAGTCTTGTCTGTCTTAGTGGAGGCTGTGGAGTTCCCAGAGTCGCTGCTCACAGACAGGGTGTGTTCCACGTGGTTGGGAGTGGCTGACAGAACAGGCTGTGCAGTAGTGACAGGCCCCGAACTGCCATTCAGAGAATCCTTCTTCTTCACTTTGGCATACAGGCTCCCATCCAATGGCCCTTGGGTGTGACCTACCACTTCTGCAAGGACAGCAAGGGAGACAGCAGGCAGCACATGTCAGCAAAAAGCAGGAGCAATCATCGGTTATATTTTCCAAAAAGGAGCTAAAAGACCCCCATTCCCTGAACCCCAAACCTCTTCTTACTACCCTGCAGATGGCAAAGAGGAAGTACACCAGTGGCCCTGGCCAAGTTTTTGGAGAGAGTCCTCACTTGCACTCAGCTTCAAGCAAGGTATAGCATAAGATTGACCAGACTGTACCAGGCCAGTGCCCAGCTGTGGTACACTGCCAGCTTCCAAACCAGAGAGGCACAAATTACTCCATGGGCCTTAGCAACCTTCTTTTAATATGAGGGTGAGCAGCTAGAGTAAAGCATTCCTTGCACAAGAATGAGGAGCTGAGTTCAACCCACATTAAAAACAAAACAGCCAGAGATAGATGAATTCCTGGGTCAACGAAATTGAACAGGCATGTTACTACCAGTCCAGTGAAAGACTCTGTTTCAAATAATAAGGTAGAGAGAGACTGAGGAAGAGACACTCGGTGTTGTCCGATGATCTCCATGTGCACATGTGCACACATGTACACACACACACATGAAATAAGATGGAGACAGTAATAGAATCATGTTGAATCACAGAAGACCAGTCCCTATTCACTGAACTCAGTACACTTCCAGCTGAATAAGTTGATACCCTGCTCTGGTATCATGGTAAAACGTCAGCTAGTAGAAGGCATGACTTCTGTTACCATGAGCACCACTCATTACTGAAAGGGGAAATCCTGAGCCTGCTCAGCCCCTACAGTACCCATTCAGGAAGTTTCCTCTACTCCCATTCCAGGAGTCCTCCCCTGGACTAGAGGCAGAAAGGCCAGGAGATGAGGCATATCCTCAAATAGAAGTACATGGAAGGTTTAAGTATGTAGACCCAGACCTCCCCTGAAGATAACCTTCAAGCAGGGGAGCCAAGGAGAGTCCCCGAGCACAGCAGGAAGCCATGTAAGACATGGAGGTACATACAAGAGACCCAGTCATTCCCTGGGGCGGGGTGGGGTGGGGTGAGGTGGGGCCCTTCATAGAGGGGTGCTGGAGAGCATCAGGGGTATTAGGGGCCTGGGCAGGATCCACCCATCCTCAGTGTTGGGCTGGGGAGTCACAGTTAAGGCTAAGACAAACTGGCCCTCGCCTTCCACACTTTAGCTCAACACAAAGAATTTGCCAGAACAGTTCAGACAATGTCATTCTTCCCGCCCACTGTCACATTTCCAGAAGTTTCTCCATATTTTCCCCAGAGCACTGTTCCATCCTCATGGACCCCTAGTCCGTTATCAACAGGCTTAGTGCAGGACATCTAGGCCAATAAGGAAAGGAAGGAGAATCAGAATGGGACTGAGGACCTCTCCCTGCCCCAAAACAAGCCTTCCGATCCCTGCAGCTCCCTGAATGGGAAGGCTGGACTTCAGTACTTCAGTACCCATGCCAAACAGGAAAAGTTCTGTCCCTACAGAGGAGGGCAAGGGAAGGGCTAGGGCTAGGCCAGAGCAGTAGTGGAAGTATCTTCAGTATGAAGTCCTAGGGGTGTCTTTTGTCTGCAGAGTAGCTCTGGGCACCCCTCAAGGGTAACACTTTCTCTGAAAGGAAAAAGTGAGTGTTGAGTGGCCTAGGGCCAGAGGGCTGACTCAGAAACAAGGGCTGCCCCACCCCCGCCCAGGCAACTCAATGACTTCACACCCTAAGGAGTCAGCAGCCCAGCCCCAGCCCTCCCACCACTTCCCCCACCCCCTCATGCCTCCTCCTGACTCTCCAGTCCAGACCCTAGGTGGCAGAGGAAAAGACATTTCCCAAAAGGATGGAGGGAAACAAGAACACCGCCCTAACTCCAGCCAGGATCCCCCAGTCATACACACGCCATAGAAGTCAGTCAGTCAAACTTGGCAAGATGTGCCCACCAGATGCTCACAGAAGGTGGGGAAGCACAGTGGGAAGCAGGCTCTGTGTACATGTCCAAGCCCCAGGTTCTGCTAGGATACAGGGCCCATCTCCATGTGTGAGATATGCTACCAGGCACTTAACACAAGCCATATTGCAAGTCCTTCAACTCAAGTAGGATTATGCCTCAAGGAAAGATGGAGAAACAGAGGCACACATTGGCAAAAGAACTCATTAAAAATATGTGGTACCTGTCAAAACCAGGCTCTCGGTGAGAACTAATTTACTTTAATGAACATGAAATCTGGATTCCACAACTATTTTCTAACATTACTTACTTGCACTCAAGGCAGGGGGTGAGGGGGCGGAGGAAGGGAGGGAAGAAGGAAAAGAGGGAAAGAGAGAGGGAGGGGGACAGAGAGGGGTGGGGAATGAACACATAAAAGTCAGGACTAATCCAAAATAAATATTTGAATTTAAAGCCACAAACACTTCAAGAAATACAAATGATCTTGCTATACCCAAGAATTATCCCTCAGGCCAGAAATGAGAGCCACTGAAAACAAGCCCTCTTACAGAAGCTTATGGCCGAAAGCAGTGATCAGGCAACCACAGAACAGGCATGTCACAATCGGTGTGCCTGTGCCCACAGGCCACCGGCCACCAGCCACCACATGCCACTCAGGAGTTCTCAGAGATGCTGGCTAGACAGCACAGCCACACCTTCCACACATGCCCTGCAGGTCCACAGACCAACAACTCTGTCCCCGGGTCCCACGGAGGCTTTAGAACCTACACGGCAACTAAACAACACAGGGCAATTCTGCCCAACAGCCCAGGCTCCCAGGGCTACGGCCTGAGGATGCCACCAGCCTACCCTGGGCCAGACTCCTAAAGGAAACTGGAGCCTGGATGGCTGCCTCTCTGTCTTCCTTGCCTGTGTCTCCAGAGGAGTAAAGTACAGGCCAGGAGGCTTCCCTCTCTGGCCCCTCTCTGGCCCTGTCTTTCTGAAAACTGACTCCCTATTTCCTGGCTGCACCCAGAGGGGACAAGTACCAAAGAGCTACCCTTCCCAGGGATTTCTGAGGTGGTCTCTGGAAGGTAGGTCCCTTGGACCAGTAGGCAGGAAGAGTTGCCTTCCCTCCTGTGAGCCTAGACAGATGCAGACCCTCCATGGAGGGTACAGAGCAGATGCTATCTATCATATCTCTCTAGCCAGGGTTCCTCTATAGGCTCTACACAGCCCCACCTGTCCTACCCTGAAGCATCTTCACTCAGCTATGAGAGCCACTGATGACGGTCCATTCTGAGAACATCTGGACCATACCAGCATCTACCCAGGAGTTTGTACAAGGAGAGTGTTCCCCAAGGCAGGCAGGAGCACGCAGGCTGATTCTCACCCTCAGCACCTGACCTCTCAGCCCCTCCCAGCTCCTCCTTTCCCCTCCTAGCCAGGCCTCGCTCTTCATTGATTTTGAAAATGTCAATATTAAGCTTGTTCTGCCATGTAACTCATCTCACATTACTACTGAGCTATTGTTCGCTGCAACGTCCGGAATATCAACTGTCAAGCCGCTGAGTCTTACGAAGAAAATCGAAGAGGTGTAAATTATTTAATTAAATACTGTTTGCTAAATATAAATGAAGGCAAACATCTCTTGTCCTCCAGGAGGGAGCCAGTTGCTCCTGGCTGCCTAGTGCTGGCCAAAGAGGCCCCACCCTCCAGCTACCACAGAACCTTCCCTGAGTGGCCCTCTACCTTGTAACAAGGGCAAAAGCAAGGACATGCAGGCCTACCCGGCAGGGCTTCACTGACGGCCCAGCAAGCAGTTACTCAACCTGTGGAGCGCTCTTACGCTTCCTCCTCCTCTTAGGGACGTCCAGGTCAGTGCTGTCAGCCCCCATGCCAGGACACACACTCTCCGGCTCCCTCTTCCCACCACAGTCACATTAAAACCTATTTAGCAGGACCACAAGAAGCTGGAACACTTCTGAAGACTGGTTTCAATCCATCAACGCAGGAAGGGCAAAAGAGAAAGGCAGACACCAGAGGATAGGGGTGGGATAAAACGATGGCAGGGGGACAAGAGGGGCCTGTGGGAGCTTCGGGGAGGGGACTACGGCTCCTTAACTGAGAAGCCACCACACTCAGCTCATCTAAGGCCCATAGCAACACAAGTGTTTCAAATAACTCCACCTGAAATAGGAAGGAGTTCATGACTCAAAGAGAGCTGGCAGAGAAGGGTCTAACTGGTAAGGGTCATGGGTCCTGGTCAGGTGACAACACACTAGAAAGATTAGTAATACCAGATACCCAGATTGCCATCAGTCCTGGACAGTAAGCCCCCAGGCTCCAGAGCAGGCTGGCTGGCCTCTGCTGTCACAGGTTGTATCCCGTCCATTTCTCCGGGCAGTTGAAGAGTTCACAGTGGAATCAAGGCCTTGCTCTAGTCATGCCATCTGGTTCTCTCTCCTTGCTCATTCTAGCAGCTCCTGGGAGAGGGACTCAGCCCTGGATGCTGGAATTGGTTGCATGCACCAAGGGGCCCTTGCTCCTCTAGGGCAGGGATCCAGATGGGCGAGTCATAGTTTTGGAAAGATCTGAGGAAAATCCCCAGCTGACTTGGATGTGGACCCACGAGCTGAGGCTCCCTCCCAACAGCACCCTGTGAGGAGATACGCCAGGCACTAAGGACAGTACCACCACAGGCCAGGATAAAGACAGGGCAAGGTACATCCGTCTGATGCACAGAACAGGAAAAAAGGAACGGAGAGTGCTAAAGCTAAGCTAGTGTTTGGGGAGTGTTTTCTAATTCTGATGCTCATAAGGACTCTTCCAGGGGTTATTAGGAATGTCGATCCTCGGGCCTGTCTGAAGGAGTCTGACTGGGAGGCCTGAGCGAGGGCTGGCCTCAGCACTGTAAACATGCTATTTGTAGCTTTGGGATCTGAGATTTGGACCCAAATGTGCAGCAGGGAGATAGCATTTGTTGAGCCATAGAGACAGACAGCCCAGCCTTGGCGAGTATGAGGTGCTGGCCTGACTGGCTTTAAGAAAGTCTCCCCCTTTGTAAGGAGGACCCCCAGAG